TATATATATATATATTTAATATATATTTAGATTTGCTTGCGCTTTTAATCGTATGAATGAAGAATAAAAAAAGAAATAGGGAAAGAAGTAATAATTTTACGATTATTTTTTTTCTCGATAAAAATAAAAATAAATCCAATCGATCCATATTTATCCATAGAAATATTACTGCATGTATTAAATTTTTCTTTTTCTTTTTATTTTTTTTTTTTTTTTTTTTTTTAACAACTAATATTCATTAACAGAAGAAGAATAAACGGATAACATTATTACACGAAGTTCGACGAATTAAACTGGTTTACTTCTCATACTTTACTTTAATTTTCGTCACTGTCGTATTTGAGATAGGACGACCTGGAATTTTTCCAGCATCTGATTGAAAGAGTCTTCCATGCTGGGGACCATTTGTTTCATGCACCACTTCGCGGTCGTCGGGCAAATGAGAATTATGGCGATGATGCTGATCGCCACGGGTGCGAGCAACGTCCAAACGATCTGCGAAGTTAAGTCGTTTTCTGTTACCGTTTCTGTTCCGTTACCCTGTTAAATTGAAAATTAACCGTCTTCGAAATAATATGAAAATTTTCCTCGAGATTAAACTTTATTAACAACCTCTTTTCGAGATAGGTTGAAGGAGAAGTGAATGTGAATTTCTGAATTTCTGAATCGCGAAATTTAAGAAAGAAAAAATTAATCTCCTTCGAAATTTACAAAGTTTACTGAACAAATTAATTTTTATTAGAGACAGAGGTTTTCCTTTCACAATTGACCAAGCGAAAATAAAAATTCTTTTCTTCTTTTTTTCAGAAATATATATATATATATATATACGTGTATCGCTTTTTCCCAAAGATAACAGGTTAATTAACCATGTTAATTGGTTAAAGGTTTTCGCACGGTCGAGAATTTTTAATTAACCGTATGTAATTGGATCCAATGTGAAAGGAAGACAAATGTTTTTTTTTTTTTTTTTTTTTTTGATAAAAAACAAAGGTGGACGAAATAATTGAAACTGATGATAAAAAGAGGGGAGGGGAGGGGAATGTATCGACGATATATGGCTTACGTATGAGATCCAGGACACTATCAGCCATCCGAGGAGAACCGTGCCGGCTGTGTTCAAATATGGCGCGTACTGGGGTCGTAGAATGTACTTTAAACAAGGGAATTTCGCGCTCAAATCTGTCAGAATGATTTCGAGCTGCGCGAAAAATCGACGATAATGGATTTTAATTAAAGATTTTAATTCTTTTTTTTTTTTTTTCGCTCTTCTCTTATCTTATCGTGTTATCCATTTTTTAACCATTTTAGAATTCAGATTATGTATATTATCCTTGTTATTATAGATGATGATTTATGGAACGTGTTAATTTGTGATTTTCATCGATGAATTTTTCATTTGAAATTAAAATAGAAATGATCAAGTTTGGAGAAAAAAATTTACAAATAATATTTGTTCGTTATACAATAAAGATATCTGTTTAAAAATAAATTTTAAATATTTCCTTTCGCGAAATGAGTCGAAATAGAGTAAAGAGATGATTTATTTTTTGGAGGAGGGATAGAGATAGATGAAAAATTTAATAAATAATATTTTTTCACGCGTTAAGCGTGAAACGTGAAACTTTTTTTGTCGGGTGAGAAAGAAAAATGTGAGAATGAGAAGGAGATTCGTTTAATTCGCCTATCTCGCGTTACACTTACATCCATTTTTTTCACGAGTTTGAAAATTTATTCTAACCATTGAATAATAAATTTTTTCTTCACATATTGGTTGTATGATTCGTTACGATCATGCTAAATTCTAATCTATAACCTATAATCTACACAAGCGTATATTTCACGCTTTGGACGACCGATGATCTGATGATCGATTGTTTGCTCCCTCTCGATACGATTTCGATATGAAAAAAAAAAAAAAAAAAAAAAAAAAAAAAAAAGAAAAAAAAAGTTCACAGAAATCTTTCGATTTCGATATTCGCAAGTAATAATAATATCTTCGTATAAAATTTATCTGATCAAAGATTTTTCCTGCTTCGTTATTTTTGTACATCGTGTCGAATAATTTTCTTTTTTTATTCTACTTTATTTTTTCCTTCCGTTCCTCGAATTGAGAATTATCTATTATCCGTATTATTATTATTCGAGAGGAAATATCTTGGAAAAAATGTCTTTTTCATACATAAAATTGCAAAGATATTTTCACAAGTACGTGTTTCCCTTCTGTTCGAAACGTTAGTCATTGCTAGTATATCTCTGGTTCTTCAAAAAGGAGATTTTTCTTCAAAAAGGAAAGTACGAGATGTTCTTTTTTCGAAAGGAAAAAAAAAAAAAAAAAAAAAAAAGAAAGAAAAATAGCGGAAATAGCACTTTCATTCTCGTGGAAAATATTTTTATCGTAATCATCCTACGTCGTTTTCTCCCTTTTTCCTTTCGTTCTCTTTATCTTTCCTTCTCCTTTGCCGATCTTTATATTAGTTTATCCCATAATTATACCTCAAGCGGAGAAAATTCCTCTCGTTAATGGACAAAGCGAAACAAGGCGTTATAAACGAGAATAATTGAACAATATTTCACGTCATATCATCAAATTAAAAAAAAAATAATACGAATAATTGAATAATAATATTGAATAACAAGATTGTTCATCCATCTTTTTTTGAAAATATATCCTTATAAATATTTACATAAGGATTAAAATTAAAGGATTAAACAGCTGACAGAGTCCAATTTGAATGAAATGAAAATTATAAATGTATAAATAAATAAAGCATATTGTTATTGCAAGTACATTATTTAATTGAAATTCAAGAATGATCTCTCTCTCTCTCTCTCTCTCTGAAAAATTTAAATTATACAACTTTCCATTCCATTAATATGAAGCACGAGAAATTATCAAAAGCAATGAGAAAATTTGATGTGGATTAGAAGATAATCGTTAATCGAGCCTGAAAATTGAATTATTTACCATGGCATGGGAATGATGCATTGTAATTCATGCGCCGATCGTATTATCAATTATCAGAAAATCAAAATTTGCTCTAAATTCTGGGGAACATTGAGCAATTAACGATGAACAAAATTCAACGCGAACGCTTTCGAAAAGAAAAAGATAAAATACATTTTTCCAATCTTTTTATTATACATCGTAAAAATATCTTTTTGGGACGAGTCGATGAAACAACAGAAACAATGGAAGATCTTGCAAATCGTTAAATAAATTTTAACACTCGAGATTAACATTCATACAAATTCAAAATTCAAAAACAAAGATAAATTAATAAAGTGTCTTTTATAAACAACGACGAATGAACGACGAATCGTTGGTAAAAGAAATTGAAGAAATAATAATGGAAGATCTTAAGGAAGCATGGGGTGTAATTTTTGATCAACTGTCGCGTGATGAATTGACGTGTTTTTAATTAAAAATCCGGGAGAGGAATTAATTATCGATGAGGTTTCGAAGCGCGTTTTTAAGTTATTTTTTTTTTTTTTATTTTACAAAGAAGGCATCTCGTGGCTCCTCCTCCTCCTCCTCCTCCTCCTCCTGCTGCTCCACTTGAGTGGTGTTCGATTTCCTAAGGGAGGGGTGGAGGGGGAGACGAGACAGAATTTATTAGAATTTATCACGGTGTGTTAACGATTGATCGAGCCCATTGAAAATTTGATTCAGAAACGGGTGAAAATTTGACATTGATTAAAATTTAATCTTGCAAATTGACAAAGCTCGAGGCAATCGAAAATTGACGTTTCACGAACACGCGATTATTACGGATCGAAAGCGATTATTATGCGATCATAATTATATAATTCTGAATTAAAATTTTTATTATTATTCGACGAAAGCGAAAATATAAACTGATAAAGTTTGGTGAGAAAAGAACGAGTGTTGATAATTGTTGAAAATATATATATATATATATTTTTTTTTTTTTTTGATTTGATAATTATTCTTTGAGAATTAAGGAATACCATTAAGGAGTACATTTATCGCGAATTTGACAAATAAATAAATTGACGATTTCAATAATTTAAGCATATTCTAATTCTGATTGCCATTTCGTTCCAATTTTGAAATTGGAGATTGGAATTGTTTAAAATAAAAAAAAAAAAAAAAAAATTATAGATCAATATCACTCTCATCAAACAATCTGAAATATTAAAAGCGATAAAANATTTGAAACATTTGCGGGTATTTTATCGCGTAATTTGAAAAAAAAAAAAAAAAAAAGTGTTTTCAAAACTGGAGTGCACAATTCATTAAAAATTGTTACTCGAATAAATCCTAGCGTATCCCATTCATCGTTTAAGTTGATGAGGTGCAATTTACATCGCCATTTTTCGTTTTTGTTTACAATTTCCCGTAATTGCAATTTAACAAGTGATATAGTGATAAATTTTCATAACAATGTACAATTAATAATGTGTGTCATTTGCACAAGTACGAATCTCATAAGGCACGTAATTTACTCCAATAAATCCTTGCGTGCCACCCATTCACCCATTGATCAACTTCATCCATTCCGAATTGCATCGTGCAATTTCCTATTTTTTTCTTTCTTTTCGTTAAATTTTCCTCGAGCAGCTAGCAAATATCGATTCAAATTTTCGATAATTTATTTCGATAAATACGAAAAATAAAAAAAAAAAAAAAAAAAAAAAAAAAGAAGAAGGAAAATTAGATTCGAGAATTGAATTAAAACAAGATATTAGTGCAGTTTGGATAATGTATTTGAAAAATATAACTGACAATTTTCAAGCAGTGAAGTAATATACTACCATTTGGAGGAATTTTTCATTAATCGATCGTTTCTGCTTTTTGCACTTTGAAATTTTTGTATTCAATCGTCAGATGTTTTGCTCGGTATCATTACATCATCCTTCTCTTCCTCTTCCTGTTCCTGCTCCTCTTCCTCCTCCTTCTCTTCCTCCTCCTTTTCCTCTTTCTCTTCCTCGGCATCGAGCCCTTCCTCCTCAATATTCTCCTTAGTTTCATCGCTCATCTCTTCCATCTCTTCCAATTTCGTTTCAACCCCTTTCTCGTTCATGTTTCTTTCGGATACCGGTTTGCCAACGTCATCATCTTCGTCATCGAGCTCAGCCTTCTTTTCCATCAGCCTCTCCCTGAACATGACATCCTCTTTCCGCGGGAATGTTTCCTCCACCATGCCCAACACGTTTCTCTGATACGGGATGAACGGTTGTTGCATCCTTAACTCCGCCACCGCCAATCGAGGAGGGAATATCGTAATAGAGCGTAGCTTCCAGTACGATTTGATCATCAAATTTTTACTTTGAGTTGTACCATACTGCGGACAGCCAGGTATTTAAAATTAACTGGACACGGGCTTTCTAGCCCTGCCTCTTATTTCTCGTGTGTTTGTCTCTTATTATTTTATCGTTCGACTGCGAATGTTTATCTAAATTGTTCGATCCGTCGCTTCAATTTGTTTAATCAAAATCTAACTAATTTAAATTTTTTATTTAAATTTAATCAAAATTTAAGTCTAAATATTCGCAGTCCAGATATTATGCTATTAGATCTAACAAGTGACTCGATTTTTTTTTTTTCTTTTCTATTTTTTAAAAGAGATATTCTTCTCCAAATATTTGGAAGAATCAAAGAGAGAAACGAAGGAAATAAAATTCTTATTAAAATGGAGAACGAAAATACATCTCTTCCCTTTATGATAAAACAAGAAGGAACGAAAAAATAAAAAATATAATGTTTAGTTGAGCACAATACATTATTCCCGAAAATTAAAAAGAATAAAATAAAAATTAAGAGAGGAAACCAGAGAAAGGAAATAGGAACCGTAAAGTTCGTTATTTCTTATCTCATTTGCATAAAGTCCATCTTCGTGAAGGCGCGGAGGTATTTGGCTACGAGCTTACAAAAAATCCGATCCGTTGGCATAAGAAATTATTAATGGGGATAGGTGGAGATGGGTGATCTAATTTTCTCGAATAATTCGCGCGACAAGGATGACGCTGGATCACGGAATCGTGTAATAACCTAATATTTTAGCTGTTAGTTATCCGCAGACAGGTTCCCCATTTTCTCCAAACTGCACGTCGACGAATATTCAACGCGACAAACTAATTAATCCCCTATCTTATTTTCAATGCTCGTTTCTCCTCGAAAAATGAACCATCGGCTATTTCACTTAGAAGATGGGATCACTGGAAACTGATCATTTTCCATCTATCGCCAGTGTTAAAATTTATACCGGTTAAATTGAATCGATGAAAGATATTTCGAGAGACGAGAAGTCGAGTGAAAATTATTATTTCGTTATATTGGAATTGAAAAAAAAAAAAAAGATTATTAATCTTGTGATTGGCAGTAAGATTAAAGTAAGTAAAAGGTACGTCAGTTCCTTGTTAATTGAATCTAAATAAAGTAAATTAATAAAGTTCAGCAAATGTAATTATTCAAAGGATAATTTTCACGAAGGAAAAATTCATTTTAAATTTTAACTAGAAAATAATTTTAATTGTAACACGCATTAGCACGACTCTTTCGCACAAGCATTAATTGTTTATAGTAATATATACAAGAGAATGAGCAATATACAAACAGAAATGATCACTTCCACAAAAAGAAGAAATCAATGTATAAAATACTCTCCTATGCTACTAGCAAACAAGAACACATGTCACGTATAAAGTTGTTAGTCTAAAATTAAAAATATCTAAATCCTGCGATGAATTTTCATGGAAGAAGAATACATACACATCATTGCATTGTAAACAGGAACACATCGCGATGCAACACCTGGTTTTGATCACGTGATATATCTGCCTAATTTTCACAAGAGGAGAATACGTGACGTCACATCACTTCCATTATCACTGCATTAGGCGTAGAGATACGTATCACGATTCATGATACGGCGCTTTACCTCTGTCTAATTTTCGAAAGGGAATAATAGATGGACGTCACATTATCCTCACTTCCATTGCTGCATTAGGCGAAGACAGGTCACGTGATACCATACGGTGCTTGGTTTTGGCGGAAGCTCGATCACGTGACGTGACTCTGTTTAACGTGCAATTGTAATAGAGATGTACTCTCCTCTTGTGGAAATTCAGGAGAATTGAACCACTTTCAATTTTAATGGTAGTGTACCACGCTCGTCCGGCCATATTTGACTCATTGGTGTCGCCAACTTGTTAATATCTTTGGCCTACATAAAACAAATATTAATACTATCATATACTATATATGAATACCTCAGTTCCTTCGTGATGGACATTGTTGGTTAATTTCCATGAAATTTTACCCATTCAACAAAGATATGGATAGTATAAAAAATAATTAACTATATTTATTCGTTAACTTTATATATATATATATATATATATATATATATAATAATAATAATGTTTCTCTCTTTTTCTCTTCGTTTCACGCAAGAAAATGAATTTATTCCCGAAAAAAACGTTTCAAATAATTTTATTTTAATACTCACAACGATTAATTTACCAGATTGGCGAAGCATAAGAATGGTGAGAGGATGAATCAGGTTGATGGTCAACTCCATCAAACGCAACACGGCAGCGAAAGAGGCCAAAATTCCAGTTATTGCCACTAATATCACGAATTCGATCACACTCGTTAACGCCTAAATCGAAGATTATTTAAAGGAATGGAGAAGAGGAATCTTTGGAGAAGAAAATTTTACATGCTGTCTTTCAATCACGTTTAACATTTCCGGGATTATGCATTTATCCACGACGAAATTGATATTGATACGACCAAAGAGACAGTAGATTCATAGTTGCATGTTGAGAAATCATTACAATTCGTAGAGTCGAGTATTAAATGAAGAATCATGGTTTTCTTCATATACATGATTTTACACGTATATAAGGATCAATTTAATAAGTCTTTTAGATAATATTATGTTTCTAATATTTTATTGAAACATTTCTAAATTATAATGTTTCTAAATTTTTATTATTTTAGAAGTTTAGATTATTAGAGTTTTTTAATTGTTGAAAAAATTTAATATAATTTATTTGAAAAATTTATTTTCAATTTTTTATTGAAATATTTTAGAAATACTTAGGTTTTGTTAGAGCTTACCTGTTATTTAAAATCTGTTTAATTCAATTTACTTGAAAGAAAGATTCTATAAAATTTCTTTTAATCATCTTCAAATAGGAATCGTTAATGGTAACTAATTGATTAATTTGTCGATATATACATTTAGAATTAATACCAAATTATTAATATTCTCACAGAAACTTCTTTTAATTTCAAACTAAGTTATTATTATAATAGTTAAGATTACCTTCTTCTGGATCTCCTATACAAAGATCTAATCCTATAAAATCAGTTTTCCTTAAATCCACTATCAAAACTTGTCGATATCGTGAAAAGTTTCAAAGATATTGCACGCAAGTCGATAAAAACATATACACTTGGTTATATACACACTATGTTTAAAGTTCGCTCGAATCTACATAACCTCTAAAAACTTGTCTCCTTGGTCGTGCATATTCCAACTCGTCCAATAAGATAAACGCAAGTAATTATCTATGCTATAAATAAGATGAAAAAAAAAATAGAAAGAGAAGAATCATCTCACGCAAAAGATCGACATTTCTGTTCTTCACATGTATGTGGCCGAGAACTTGAGAAACTGTTCTTGTCGCTGGTTCTTGTTGATTTCATGGATAGAACATCAATATCCTGTTCATCCGTTTCGGCTCATGATGAAGCTACATCTTCATCGTCGCTTTCTGCTCCCGCCGGAGTGTTAAAGGAGATGCAAAGAGGAGACCAAGGTTGGAATGGATTGTTTCGGAATAGTGAGAAAGAACAGAGTGAAATTCGAGACTAGAGAGATTTCATAGTGCCGCCATCTAGGTTGTGTCGCGCAATTACTCTTAGGAGAATAATAGTATAATAGTATAATAATGTAGAAGATTTAAATCACACAGGATGTTAATATTATACATGATATAGAATACATGGTTTACAGAATCGATTTTGAAAGATAAGACGAACGTAAAAGTTTTGATGTGCAAAAATATTGATCGAGGTTTGTTTATTTAGTTATTTCTAATTGAAGTTTGCATTGGATGAAGGGAGACGAAGATAGAGAGCGAAGCAGTGGTGCGACGAGAATAGAAGAAGTTTCATCTCGCTTCGTTTAATGCAAACTTCAATTGGTTATTAATTAAATATCTGAATTGAAATTTTTGTTTATCAATTTTTACTTTGAAATCTAAAATATTAGATCAAAAAGTGGATCGAACATGAAAACATATCATGAATATGTTAATATATTTTGTAGATATATAGAATTAATTTAATTAATATATGTATATATAATTAAATTTAATTTTGAATGTAATAATCGAGGAGCAAGATATTAAAAAGTTTGAATTTTGTGTTTTAATACGTAACACATAAAAAAGATTTTTCTTAAAAATATTAATAAAAATCACAAATTTTTATTTCAAAAATCATGTTATTATAATTTCATTGGCATTCATAAATTTTAAATATGATTAAAAAATTATTAAATAAATTAATTGTAAATTATTCATTCAATATAATTATTATGCAATATATCCAGTGGATATTTTGAGTGCATCGGTGATCCCGCAATTTCCAGCAATTTCCTTAAGTTAATGATTAAATACAAACTTGTGGCTTCGCTTCGGATATTGATCATTTCCGCACAAGTCGATGGATCGTTAAATAGTTTTTGAATTCTATGAGAAGAAAACTAATTTAAACTAATTAATTAATTAATTAATTAATTACTACATCGAATAATTTTCATTATTATTAAATAAAAAAGTAAAGTATTAAATTTTGATAATTTATATTTATATTATAAATATTTTATAACGCAAGCAAAACGTATTAAAAATAATTATTGAAATTTTATCAGAATTTTATATACAATATTTCTAAAAATATAATCTCAAATTTTCAAAATATCATAGAACTAATTGTAAGTAATCAAATTTCAATAATTTATATTTTATCTTTAAAGCAATGATTTAAATTTTAACCAAGATTTGTTAAGAATAATTATTGAATTTGTTAAAATTTCACAAGCAACATATAACCCATAAAATATATTATATTATAATTTCCGATTAATTTTATTAATCAAATTTTGAATAATTTTTATACTTTCATTATCACACAAGATATATCTTTAAATTCCAGCTTAAAACTCGAGATTAATTAAAAATAATTGTCGAAACAAATTTTATCAAATTTTATCAAACGTATAACCTTCTTTCAAATATATCAAACTAAATATCTAAATATCTAAATATATAACATCTAAATATATAATTCTAAATATATAATTAAAATAATATAAATATATAATCTAAATATATAATTTCAATTTCAAAAGTGTTGTTCACGAAACGTGGCGTTTATCCGATAGCAAGAGAATACACAATGCATACTCGAAAACAGAGGAGTCTATCTAACCTCGCCAACAGGACAAAAGATTGCGCCCATCTATGGCGCGTTAATCGGATACGTTCGCGTCGCTCGCAGAAAATAATAAACACGGCATCACGTAACCTTCGGGCCGGTATGAACCTTTAAAATTCCACGGTTAATTATTGAATGTCGTGAACAAGTGAACCGCCGTCCTCCAGAAATCTGGGCGCGTTTCTCAGCCCATGAAACGAATTATGGGCATGCAAAATTCGAAGAGGTTAGTGCAAATTGACGTTTCATTATTTATCGTAACTCGTCCAATTTCGATAGAAATTTTACAAATCTATATCCATTTATTTCTCATCGGTGACGCTTTTCATTAATTAATTCTAATTCTCGTTGTAAGATATATATCGACAAATCGATTTTACGATATATAAAAAAAGAAAAATTTATATAGTTGTATATTTATATAATATAATATATAATATATTATATATAATAGTTAATATTTATAGTAGATAAACGTTGTTTAATAATGGTGTACACGGAAACGAACTAAACTAGTTCGATATTAATGCTAAATACGACATCGATTGTCCATTATCCAATCAAATTCGTATTAGAAAAATAATGCGGATAATGCAAATTAGAATATCATATAACGGTTTAATATCGTTATATAAAATATAATTATAAAGGATAATCAATTCTCGTTCTCGTGTAATATCGACAACTTGAATAATTCGAATATTCGTACAAAATGAGTCTCTTATTGGGTGCGCCTTAACACGTTTCTTTAGAAGGGATCATGGTCCATTTCGTTGGACGTAACGTGATAAATCGTCGGTGATAGTCGATTTTTCAAGGTGTAAGTGATTTCAAATATTCGTCGAGTTTGGTAAATGGATCCTTTCTCCGGGAGGCTGTCAGCCTGGAGAATTTTAATTATGACTGTTTCGAAAGAATCGTGCAACGATGTAGAGAACTCTGTCGTAATTATTTTGGTCAAAATTCGTAATTGGATTAGGTGCAATTAGATGCAATAGAAAATAACGTTTAATTTAATTAACGAATACAAATTGAAATATTCGATTATTAATCGTTACCTTATCATTAAATTTCTACGTGTGATCGCAATTAATTATTAAACTTGGTTTCCATTGATTAAACGCTCAATTATTGAAACTTGCCTTTATCGTAGAATCAATCGACCAATCGTTTCAATCAATTAATTAAATCATTTTCTGATTTATACTTTTCAACATATCAATATATAATTTGATCAATTTGGAAGGTTTTTGGTCTGGCAATTGCGTAGAGAAGAATTGAAAAATACATATATTTTCATCGAATTTTATTCATTATTTTTTCACATTTATATATTCTTGATTACATTTACTACTATTAACTAAGTCCACGTTTCGATATCCTCTCTCTAGATTCTTCCACATCAGAGCTATATAAAACGAGAACAACAGAAAAATCCTTTGATTAATTATCCTTTCTCCTCCCACTCGAAACAAAAAGAAAAAGAAAAACATCAACAACAACTTCAACTTACACGCTCGAGGCCACGATAATGATGATGCGACGGGGTCATCACGTGTCTGCCCATGGATCGTTCCTTCATGCCCATCACGCGTATGGACGGCTCAACCATAACAGCGGAGCCCAGAGTGGGCACGCCTTGTTGCTTGCAGCTGCACTGCATCACGGACTGTTGGCAGTGATGGCAATGAGGCACCTTGAGGAAGGTGGCCACCGGTTCCTGCTCGGCCACCATCATGACAGGCTTCTGGGGTACCACGACCATGTGCTCCTCGAACACTGGCATCACAGGCACCACCTCCTTCTCCACCTTCGTCACGATCATTTTTTCCGGCTTGGGCTCAGGCTTCACGATCTTCTCCTTCTCGATCACGGTCTCGACAATTGGCTTCATAGCTTTCTCCTCCTTCGGTGGTTGGATGATGTTCACGTTCGTTTGGGCGGGGGGGCAAGGGGGCTGAGGGGGTTGGACCACCTTCAACGAGGCCTGGGGTTGGATCGGTGGCTGGATCACGCTCAACGTCTGGATCGGGGAGGGAACAGGTTGGATGTTGAGGGTTTGGACAGGTTGTGGAACGGCTTGGATGTTCAACGTTTGGATACGTTGGGGTACGGGCTGGATGTTGAACGTTTGTACGGGGGGTTGGGGGGCCGCCTGGATGCTGTAGGTCTGCTGTTGAGGAAGCAGGCTCGCCGAGTCCAGGCAGACTATCGACTTCTTCGACCTGTCTTGATCCTCACCGCCCTCCTCGATCTTCAGATCCTCCTTCTCCAACGACTTTTCTATCTTCGCTGCGGGGACCGCCTGGGACAGGGCCAGGCCCAGCAACAGAAGGACGAAACTGATGTTGAGACTCATTTCTTCCTTTCTTCTTTCCCTTCTTTCTTCCTTGGATTTGTTGTTGGATCGGTGTTCGACGTTGAACTGTGACATTCGAGGCGGCCAGCCGAGCTTTTAAAGGAATTCGTGGAGGTTCGATTTCGAAATAGCGTATACGCAATATGGAGCTGATTATGCGGAATTCCGAGGATGTTGAGACACATTGTTGACAGTGAACCGCGGTTGATTTGGCGCGGTGCGTGAAACGATAGGTGCACTATTGTGTGACACAATACAGATTCCTATATTTGTTGCATTGTTTTCGAGTTGTTGATAATCGATGGAATTAACATTAAATGGACGTAATACACTTTTGATGTAAAGTATTGATAAATAATTCCTAGGCGTGGGTTGGATTCGTAAAAATGTCGAAGGTTTTTTAAAAAAATATTTCCAAGGTTTTATATTATTATATCTGAGATTACTATTAATATAGTTCTGCATTAATCAAGTAATTAATATTTCTAATCGTACGATTCTACATTTTGAAATATGATATTGATTATATTTTAAATGTGATTGATCTGGGGAATTGAATCAGAAGAGTGAATTTTAAGAAGAAGAATATTTTTTAAATATTCTAAAAAAATAATTCTAAATATTTTAAATATTCTTTTTAATATTCTATAATACACTCTGTATTAATCAAGTAATTAATATTTCTAATCGTACGATTCTATATTTTGAAATATGATATTGATTATATTTTAAATGTGATTGATCTAGAGAATTGAGTCAGAAGAATGAATTTTAAAAAGAAGAATATTTTTTAAATATTCTAAAAAAATAATTCTAAATATTTTAAATATTCTTTTTAATATTCTATAATACATTCTGTATTAATCAAGTAAATAATATTTCTAATTGTACGATTT